ATAAGATATACAAAGTCAATTGGCGAAAAAACCCCGGAGATTAATCTAATCTTCGACGAAGAACGAAGGGGCAAAATATTTGCAGACAGTGAAAGGATTTAGATGCGAAAATCCCCATAAATCCAATTAACACAAATCTGCATAACGGGTTAACGTTGAACGGTTGCGGGTCCTTTCGCAAAGGCGAAAAAAGGATTACGCTCCGACGAGCCCGGCAATTTCAATTGAATACTTTGCCCAACTCACTACCTGATTTATCTGGCCTCTCTTTCGGATTACCGCAGACGATCCCTTGACTTTTCCTGCTAAGCGATCGTAAAACGTGGATTATGCATTTATGGCACCCCGCGGCAGCAGCGAAACCACCCAGCCACCCAACCACCCACCGCCCATCGCCCACAGGACCTTTGGTCAAAGGGTGCGGTTTAATCCGAGACCACCAAAAACCGATGGGAGAGCCATATAGCTGCACTGGGCAAAAATACGATTGGATTCGGTAATTCACCTTTGAGTTACTTTAGCACTTAACATATATTTTTACCATAAGAATATTTATTCAAAAGTTGTATAGCTCTTACTGAAAAAAACGAATTATATTTTTGGTAAAAATTGAAATTTTTCATTTGGCTTTTTTGCTGTAACTTGGCCAAAAATGGTCCTACACCAAAAATGAATACTGTTTTGAACAGATAACTAAATAATAAAAAAATCCATAACACTTCCCGGGTAATCCTGCAAAAATAAAATTTTCGCCAATTTTCAATTTTTTTGTAAGGGGGTACCTCATGATTTTTTTGCGAAAAATGGGAAAAAAATAAAATGCCCAGGTTTAAATGCCAATCGATTTGAAATTTAATAACGAGTTCAGAAAGGTATGACAATCCATATTTGGATCAATATTTCCATTGCTATGAACAAAAAACTAATTATTTTTTGTGAAAAATTTGGATTTGACTTTTTGGTCAAATTAGAGTTTTTTTCTTTTGGTTTTTTTGCTGTAACTTGGCCAAAAATGGTCCTACACCAAAAATACATACTGTTTTGAACAGATAACAAAATAATAAATAAATTCATGACACTTTCCGGGTGATATGGGAAAAATAAAATTTTGGTTTTTTGCGAAAAATTGACAAAAAATAAAATTCTCAGGTTTGAATCCCAATCGATTGGAAATTTAATAACGAGTTCAGAAAGGTATGACAATCCATATTTAAATCAATATTTCCATTGTTATGGTCAAAAAAACGAGTTTTTTTTGTAAAAAATTGGGAATTGGTTTTAAGGAGAGTTTTATACAAAATTATTATTCGTCTTTGAATTATGTTCATTAACATAACTGTTATATAGTTTTTAAGAAAGAAAGTAAATAAAAATACTTTTATTTCTCTGCGTGCAGAAAGCCAGAAGATGTCGCATTAATCTGCCGAAAGGATCAAGAATCAATAATTACGATTCAGGCGTAACCGAGTCGGGGGCTAGGTAGCAAAACATGACGGGATTATCCTGGAGGAAGGGTTCGTCCGCTCTCTCTCTCTCTTAGGATTAGAGATTAGAGACGTCGATCCGGCGAAAAATCCCGCGGATGAGGAGCTTTGATGCGACGAAGTCAAAACTTTTCCAGCTTAAACCTAGATTAGGCGTCCCGCGATTTACCTCCGATTTACCTGACCCCGCTGATCTCTGGATCTCCGCCTTGTTTGGTGGGCTCGTCGCGGCTAATCAATTGATTAGCGCAATGGTCTCGGAATGGTTAAGATTCTGGTTCTTGGGGATGTGACTGTGTTGTGGACTAGAGCAGCGGATTGAATCCCTATATCCTGGAGTCACTTCCTCAAAATAGATTAGGCTTCATTTTGCATAATATTTTGAGAGATTTACGAATGTTGCTTCCGATTTGGTTACAGTCTTAAGTGTAAGGTAGGATTATTATCTAGTACAATCTAATGTTTCACTGTTATCTGTCGTTATAGACATTTTCATGGAAATTTAATGATATTTAAGGGATGTATGTTGGCTTACAAAGGATAATAGTTTTATATTTCTTTCGGTTTGTTATTATAAAGATTGTTTTATTAGAAAATGTATTTGTATACCCATGTTTACCTATAGATCTTTTCCTTTAAAGTTTCCCTTTTTTCCCTGCTCCCAAACCCCCAAAAGCGATTTTCCAACTTGACCTAGTGGTACAAAAAAGTGGGCGTTTTCTTTTTGGTGGGCGGTAGGCGGTGGTAGATAGGGATAGTAGGAACTTTCCATGCTGTTGCTGCCGACTTTTTGCTAATTGATTATGCGGCGACGTTGTGGCCCAAGGACAAGAACAAGAACAAGAAGAAGGAGAAGAACAAGGACAAGGAATACACTCCTGTCTTGCAAAAGGAGGTATAATGGGGGTGGAAAGGGGGAGGGGAGGGGAGGGGCTGGGCAGGCGCAGGCAGACGGTCTTCAAGTCTAGTTGACTTCAGCATTGTCATAAATCTTCGGTAGCCAAAAGGAGCCAGAGGAGCACGAGACAGGCTCCTTGTTGTTGGCCTGGTTGCTTCAATATAATTGTATCTTCCGTTTCATTACATGTTGCCCAGAAGTCCCAGTCGGATGCCCACTAAAGCCCAAGTTGGGTATCTAAGGCTATCAGAACTTTTTCACTTTTCCCTAGATTTTTCTTATTTTTATACCCTTGTAGAGGGTATTATAATTTCAGTCAGATGTTTGCAACGCAGTGAAGGAGACGTTTCCGACCACATAAAGTATATATATTCTTGATCAGCACCAATAGCCGAGTCTATCTAGCCATGTCCGTCTGTCCGTCTGTCCGTCTGTCCGTCTGTCCGTCTGTCCGTCTGTCCGTTTCTATGCGAACTAGTCTCTCAGTTTTAAAGCTATCGCGATGAAACTTTCCCGAAGGTCTTCTTTCTATTGCAGGTAGTACATATGTCGGAGCCAGCCGGATCGGACCTTTATCTTAAGGCTCCCAAACAAATATAAGAAAATTCATTGTAACTTTGTAGGAAGTAGGCGTTTTGATTCTTGACTACTTAAAAACAAAATTGAAATAAATCGAAACGCTGAATCTGGAATCCCTGGAACTGCACCGAGTGAGTATTCTTTTATCTACAAGGGTATATAAGCTTCGGCTGGCCGAAGGTAGCTTCCTTTCTTGTTATCTTGTGGAATCTCATATTCCACTATTATCTTTTATTATAAAAAATCTTAAGAAAATTGTATGATATTTAAGGGATTTATGATAGCTTTGGGAAGGATTATAGTTGTTTTCTCATTGAATTAAAATTCGAAATGCGGAAAAATTTGGGATGCAACACCATTTTAACGTAATTTATTGGCATACCAATTTTAATAACAATTAAAACATTTTTTGCATAATTTTTACATTATTATTGTGAAATTTTATAACCCAAAGGGTAGTGCGAAAGTCGAGAGGCCATTCAGGGGGATCGTTTCGTTTTGGGAGTCATCATTATCTTTTCACAGCAGCAGCAAATCGTAAAATTTGTGGCCCAGGCCCACGTTGCGTATGCGTAATAAAAAAGACGCCGCATAATAAAAAGGGAGCGAAAAGCAACAACAACAATTGTGATTAATATGCGGCACACAAACAGACATTCACACGCACACGCACACATTGAGCATGTGCGATAGAGAGCGAGAGAGAGAGCTGCTGTCTCTTTTGTGGTGGTGTTTGGTCAACGCCCCTTTAAATACAGTTATTTCATTGGGCCGCGACCACAAATTTATTAGTTTTTATTGTTATTGTATTGATATTTGAATTATGCCCGCTCCCTCTTCTTCTTCTTCTGCTTCGTCTACTTCTTTTGTCTTCTTCTTCTTCTTTTCCCTTGGGGTTTCTGGGGAGTGAAATGAAAAATTAAATGCCATTAAACAGAAATTTTAATTTAATTAAAATGATGAGCCATACTTTTTTCCGTCTGCTTGCTTTCATCGAAACAAATTGAAGGGCTAAATGGGTTACGGGCATAATGGGAATTTAAGCAGATATTCGTGTTTGTAATGAAGGTACTTGAAATGTGTAAAAAATCGGAAAATTTATGGTCATCTTGTGGTGGGTGGGAAAATATTCGAAAGTGGTTTGAAATTGAAAATAAAATAAGGTTAAATTTATTATAATAATAATTTTTTAAAACAAACTGAAAAAGGTTTCAGGGAATCCTAGCTACAATATTTTTTTAAATATATTTGATACACCGCAAATTGAAAAAAAATTTACAAGGCTAATTTTAAGGAAAAATCCCAAGATAAAATTATTTTTTATTATTTAGTTGAAACTCAATTTAATTTAATAAATTGTAATACTATATATTTTGAGATGAGTAAAAATTATAAAAAATAGTTAAAAAGTAAAATATTCCATAAATGTCAATTAAAAGTTCTAAGCTTTTGATTTGGCTTAAAGATAAATCCAAATTTTTGTCTTAAAGTTTAATTTTGACCACAGGTACAACAACAACAACCACAACAGCAATATGAGAGCACCAAGGAGCAACAACAACAACAACAGCAACCCAATTGCTTTGACACACAAACCCACACATAGAAATTAAAACAAAACGCCCGCGGCAGCAGCAGCAGCAGCAAAAACAACAATACCAAAGGCAAGGAGAGAGCACCACCAACTACTCAGTGCGCGAAAAAGAGAGCCAGAGAGTGCTGTTCCAGGGAGTCACAGTTAGTTGGCCATGGCAAAGCAGAGCGAGCGAGACAAAGCGAGCGTGCCCGGAAGGCACGAAGAAAAAAAAACAACCACCATGATTGTCGTCCCCCCAGCATGGCCACAGAGAGAGCGAGCGAGAGAGCGCGCGAGAGGGCGCGTGGCGAGAGCAGCATGGCGGAGCGTAAGCCAAAGCAGGACAGCACTAGCGCTGCGCTGCTGCTGCTGCTCTCTGCCCCGCTCGCTGCCCGCGCCGCTGCCCGCAGCCAAGTGATTCGTTTTGTACGTTGTTAGACTCTCTCGCCGCGTTTTGGAATTCAGTCGGCAATCGACGATAATTACCGGTGGTTCTATCACATCACGCGCAGCAGCAGCAGCACGAAGAAGAAGAAGAAGAGGCAGTAGCAGTAGCAGAGAAACTCGCTCGTTTTCGGATCTATATATATATATATACGCATATATATATGTACTACGAATTTTCGTTTGCCTTTAATTTGTTTGTGTTTTTTCCGTGTTCTCCTCCGCATGTGCATGCAATTACGTGCGCCGCGGCAAAAGACTATAATTATAAAACTAAAGTGAAAAGCGTGCCATAATTACACGAGCGAATATCAATAAGTGCGAATAAGAGCGAAGAGCAATGTGCGAAAATTGCTAACGAAGTAGTAGCCGAAAAAAAAACATAATCGCAGATTCCAAAAAGAAAAAACCTTAAAATCCAACGAAAGAAAAGCTACCGTTTTTCAAAATGATCGATGCGGCCTGCAATTACCTGAATCTCAATCTGAATCCGAATCCCTATGTGCAACAGCAGCAGCAGGCGGCGCAACAGCAGGCGGCGCAACAGCAGCAGCATCATCTTCACATGCAGCAGGCGCAGCAGCAACTGCACTTGTCGCAACAGCAGCACCAACAGCACATGCAACACTTGCCGCAGCAGCAACAAATGCAACAGCAGCAAATGCAACAGCAACAGCAACCGCAACAGCAGCCACATGACTTCCTGCTGTCCGCCCCCTCGTCCCTCTCCGGCTCAAGTTCCGGCTCCAGTTCCGGTGGCTCTCCCATCTACAACAGCAGCGGCAGCGGCAGCAGCAAGGCGCCCATGAAGCTGGAGCTGCCCTATCCGCAGGCCTCCTCCACCGGCACCGCCTCACCCAATTCCAGCATCCAGTCGGCCCCCTCCTCCGCCTCCGTTTCGCCCAGCATCTTCCCCTCGCCCGCCCAGTCGTTCGCCTCCATTTCGGCCAGTCCCTCGACGCCCTCGACCGCCGCCACCCACTTGGCGCCACCCACAGCGGCAACATCCTCGTCGCCGTCTTCCTCCTCCTCCTCCTCGTCGTCAGCCGCCTCGGCATCGGCGGCAGCGGCGGCGGCAGCAGCGGCAGCCGCAGCAGCGGACCTCGGGGCAGCGGCGGTCGCCAGTGCCGCCTACGGCTGGAATACCGCCTACTCCGGATTGGGACCTCCAAGGTAAATATCTAGATAATACTAATATAAAACAAAAGCCATGGGATGATATGGGATCGTACAATATCATTGTAATATCAAATTATAGGATTTAACACTGATTTCCTGTGAAAGATTAGAAATAACTCAGAAAACTTAAAGTTAGGATCAAAGAAAAATTAAAGAAAACTTAAAGTTAGGGATGATATGGGATCATACAAAATCATTGTAATATCAAAATTGGAAAATTGTACGCTGTTTTCCTATGAAAGATCAAAAATATCACAGAAAACTTGAAGTTAGGATGTTAGGATCAAAGATAAACTGTTATTATACTTCTCATTTCAGATAACATGATAGCTTATATCAGGAATTATATTTAGAATTTTGCAAATCTTTATTTCAATTAAAAACAAACTTAAGAATAGGATCACTTATCAAATTCCCAAAATAAACCTGAAAACCTGAACACTTGACTGTAAATTACAGATCAAGTTACAAATAATTTGAAAATTACACAGTTTTTGTTATAAGGAAATACATCATCGCATTAGCTTAAAGATTGAATAATCTGTAATAAATATAGATCTCTGATAACTAAGCTTACCACTTAATAAAGATATTTGCAATCAAATTAAGGGTTAGAGCAGCTAATGATAGGAATAAAAAGGTGATTAAAATTAATGAAGGCTAGATAGGAATCTTTTGCAAATTAGGGGGGTGTATTATTACACCAATGAATAAATGATTTTAATAGAAAATACTAGGCTATACTTTAATATTAAACATGTGTGTTTTAAATTCAAAACTAATCATATACTTTTCTTCTGTTTTCTTTTAGAAGCCAGTTCCCGTATGCCCAGTACGCCTCCGATTACTACGGCAATGCGGTGGGCGCCATGTCCTCCTCGGCCGCCTGGTTCTCCCATCAGGAGCGTCTCTATCAGCCCTGGAGCTCCCAGAGCTATCCGGGCTTCAACTTCGACGACATCGCCTTCCAGACGCAGCTGCAGCGGCGCTCCGTTCGCTGCACGTGCCCCAATTGCACGAACGAGATGAGCGGACTGCCGCCGATTGTGGGTCCCGATGAGCGCGGTCGCAAGCAGCACATCTGTCACATTCCCGGCTGCGAGAGGCTGTACGGCAAGGCCTCCCATTTGAAGACCCACCTGCGCTGGCACACGGGCGAGCGGCCCTTCCTGTGCCTCACCTGCGGCAAGCGATTCTCGCGATCCGACGAACTGCAGCGGCACGGCAGGACGCACACCAACTACCGGCCCTACGCCTGCCCCATTTGCTCCAAGAAGTTCTCGCGCAGCGATCATTTGAGCAAGCACAAGAAGACCCATTTCAAGGACAAGAAGAGCAAGAAGGCTCTGGCCGCCGAGGCCAAGGAGCAGGCGGCGGCGGCGATAAAGCAGGAGAAGAAGGAGAAGAAGGCGGGGAAGCAGCCTTTGGTGACTCCAGTGGAGTTCAAGCAGGAGCAGCCGGAGGTTGCAGCGCCGCTGGTCAACTATGCGCCGTATGCGAATCTCTACCAGCAATCGAGTGGCGGCTCCGCCAATGCACTGCCACCACCGCCGCCGCTCTTCCAGCAGCATCATCATCAGCAGCAGATGGCTTCCTCCTCCTCCTCCGCCGCCGCAGGCTATGTGGAGCAGCAGCCCTGGAGCAGCCGTGCCATACAGCAACCAGCAGCAGCAGTCGTCACTACCTCAGCGAACTCAACCACATCCACAGCCTCCAGTGCGGCCAGTTCACCAGCGACGGCGGCGGCAGCGGCGGTGGCGGCATCCTCGCCAGCCGCCTCGGCGACGGCACTGGCCGCCCAGCATCACTATGCCGCTCTGGCCATGCAGAGTGAATCCCAGCTGGCCGCCGAATATGGGCTGACCATGAGCGGACTGGCCAGCGGAGCGAGCCAGGACTCAAGCTCCAGTTGTCACATGAAGTCCGAGTATGCGGCCAGTTATCCAGCTGAATTCGGAGCGGGCACCGCCAGCTACGGCTATCCGCATCCGCATCCGCATCATCACAATGCCTGGGCAGCGGCCTATCATCCGCATGCCACGGCCTAGGATTCAAAGGATTCCTCATCCCCCAAGATTGTTACAGTTTAAAGTTGAAAGAACAAAACGAAATGCCATAAAGTCCCGAAAGAAGGCAAAGAAAGCAAGCGTAGAACGAACCTCTAGTGTGTGTGTTTTTTTTCAGTGTTTATTGTTGATATATATAAAAATAGATGTGAAAATCGAAGAAAAAAAAATCCACAAATACCGCCTAAGACATTATATTACATTACATATTATAATTATATATTATATATATTAACTATACATGTAGCTAGTTCTAGAAATTTTTTTTCAATTTTTTTTCCCCCCCAAAAACCTAGTTAAGGCATTTTTTTTTGCATGTCTGTACATACAAATATATATCGTGTTTTTTTTTAAGCCATACCATATAGAATGAGAGAAACCATCTAGTTGTGTACCATAATAATTGTTAATTGTCTTTAAGATAAATTATATACAAAGCAAACAAAAAAAAAAAACCAACCAACAAGGCGACAAAATCCCCATCACAAAAATCCTAACAATAAAAAAACGAACAAAATTATATCGGAAAACAAAGCTATACCAGTTTTTATTACTCGATCCCGACGCACCCTTGTTTTTAAGGGTCTACGATTCGGTTTTGTTTCAGGGTTGTTTGATCTCAGCTCCGGGGGTTGTTTCTTGCGCATAAAGAGGGACCCAGGAAGCTTCCCGACTTCCGGCGAACTTGATCTGCTTGGGGTGCGCTGATCTTTGGCGGGTTTCGGATAATAGAAACTTTTTCTAAAGCAATCATTATACCTGTCTACGCAGCCAGATTTATTTCCATCAATGTCGGCCATCGCTATAAAACTGTAAAAACATTGTCAACTTTGAAATGCCTTTTTCTCTAAATATCATGATTGGTTTTGGCTTTTTCTTCTATACAATGTTTTATTTATTCCAAATACAAATAGTCACTAAGTTTCATAACAATCGTGTGAGGTTTAGGTATGACTTCCCCGATCCTTTTTTCATTTCCAGCTGCGAAATTAATTTATTCTCATTTCCCCCCCGGGTTTCCTCCTAGTTCAACTGGGCCGTCATAACTCAGAACGGGCATATTCAATCTAAAGGCAGCCAATGAGAGTCAATTTAGCTCGCCCGACTATCCCACTTTGGCCAGCCCAAAATGAATTGCCCAACAGAGAGTTTTTTATAATTAAACGGGAAACTTTTTGTCCCAGTCAAACGAAAACGAAGAAAAAAAAAACAATGATGGCGTGAAGATTGGCAATCGAATCGCCGGAGAGGAGATCGATCCAATCCGATCCGCCGTGAAGCGATGCAGATAGCGATGCAGATCGATTGCGGCCAATATAAAATATTGATTTATGCTGCCCTGCCCGGGCATCAATCAATTTTCAAGTTGAGTGAGCGCCAAGCCCCCGAACGTGCCACGCCCACACAACTACACCATCTTTTAGGATCCCCGATTCTCCGATTCTCCGGCTCCCCGATTTCCACGATGCATTTGTGCAAGCGGTTGACAACCTCGGTTGGGATTGGTCGTAGATCGAAAAAGCGGAGAGGAAGAGTCTCCGACTTATAGAGACCATAGAGAAGGAGGGTGTGATGGGGCAGCCCAACAACTTCACACGCACGTTAATCATACGCCGCGTTGGCCCCAGAAAACCCTTTTTGCCCCACCCCCCACAACCACCACCACCACCTTTTTTTTTAATTTTTTTTTTCGGGGCGCTCCACTAAATGGCAAACAAAATCTGATTGATTTATAACTGAAGTCTGCGGTCAGCGAAGGAAAATAAAACATAACCAAAAGGGAAAAGTCTTGAAAAAAAGTAGGTACTACAAGAAATACAAAATATAAAATCTCGCAGCTTAATGATGATAAATGATGATGTTATGATTTGTTAATTTTTCTTCGCGTCTCTTCGTTTTTTATTTTATTGCGTAGAGGAGTTAACCCGAACATGAGGTATTCGTCTTTTCTGTTTTGGTCGGTTTAATGGCTCGAAAAGTGCTCTCCACCAAACTCTTGGACGGGCGAAAGTGTAATTTTAAGTATGGGTTACAGAGAATCGGTGGAAATATTAGTTGGCCGGGCTCTTTTAAATGATTTTTCTCTACTATCCTAGTATCTATAAAAATACAGCTCAAACCTAAATATCTTGAGACTTCCAAAAAGTATATAGATATTTAAAAATTCATTTTCCAATTTCATAACAATTTTCTAGCTTTAGTTGGGTCTTTCTCCACTACAACGTTGTATACAATACTACAATACAAATATTTCTAAAGTTTCCCAGCAATCGTGTGAGGTTTAATAGATTTCTCTTGCTTCTATGGGGTCTTTCAAGGAATATTCTCCGCTACATCGATAAATTGATCTGTAATACAACTATTTATAAAGTTTCCTAACAATCGTGTGAGATTTATTAGATCTCTAAGGGCCTCACCAACCTGTTAGAAAACACAAATTAAACAAATTATGAAATCACATCACGAAATGAAACCGACACTGGACATGAGTAACCACTTAGGATAGCGGCAGGGAATTAGATCGGCAGCTGAGAAGTTCCCAGAAATTGTGGCTAGCTGACACCACACCTATGGCCACTCGAAAATGCCAGGGCCCAATACTTAGTACCCAGTGTACCCGAAAACCCAAAGTGTTGTCACACATACTCGACTGCTCGAGTAACTTCGACTTCTGGGCACGCTTCGTGGCTGAGAGATCCTCAAGGATCTCAGATTCTCAAGTGGCGCTGCCGAAGTTTTTTTTTCTTCGTGCGGTAACCAGATATTGCTCTAATTTTGATCGGGGCTATAAATAATCGGCCTGCCAGCGCACTTGACTTTCACTCGCTCTCCATCTTTTTGCGCCTGACATTTCCACAGAATCCATGTTTTGATGTTCGGCGCTCGGGATCCTTTAGAGGTCCTTCGGCCCTTCGGAGGGGACAGCAAATTGAGTTGAGATTATCTCGCTGCCTGCGCTAAGCAAGCGTGTCTAAAAGAAAAGGTCCTGCGGCCGAGATGATCGAACATGACTTAACTAGAAAATGTTTTATGTTTCATCGGCACTTGGTATTTATTAGTTTTTACTTTTCACTTTTCCACTTCCACTATATATATATTTTTTTTGTTTTTGGTCAGGGGGCGTTGGCGTTGGGCGTGTTTGACATGGTCATCGGTGATTATAAATTTCGGTCGTGTCCTCTGCGGTCGAGGAAAACTACGAGAGTCCTGGTGTGTGGGTTCCCTTGCCCTTTTGTCTTCGGACCAAAAAATAAGATCCTTGTTGCGGCATATGGCCTGCGTTTTTTTTTTTTTTGGCTCGATGCGGGCGCAGATCTCGGGGGCTAAGATGACATGTGTTTAAAGGATAATCGCGCAACAAGATCGCAATCCCGATTGGCAAAACGTCCCGAGATAAACAGCTCAACGATGGATTGACTTCAGCTGGGGATTATAGTACACACAGATATTGCAGGCCCGGAATGTAATTTCTTAATTTAAGGCACCTTTTTTGAAGTTTGATCGGGCGAAAACATTACTGATATTCTTTAAATTCAGTTTCTATCTAAATTTACAGTTGGTATAGGGGATTTTCTTTATATTTTTTTTTTTTTTATTATATATTTATTAATGTAAATAAAAACATTTTAAAATTTACCTTACACACCTTCATTTTTATGTGATAAATATTTTTTATGAAAAATAAATTTAATTAAATAAAAAGTTAAAAAAAAATGGATTTTTAATGGTATAACTCTCCTTTATTTAAATTTAAAAATTATCCCCATAAAAAAACTAGCCTAAAATCTAAACGAATGGATGATAGCAATATAAAATATGCTGTAAACTTTTTTATTTTTTGTTTGATTCATTTTCTAATATTATCCTAAATTATGGCATAAAAACTGCTTCAATATGTCCGATTTGAAATCGAAATTTAAATATTCTTCATATAAAATAATTAGCCCGTCAAGAACCTGATGATGAATACCGATGAATCGCCATCGATGAGCTGGCATTTAAGGAGTCCTTTGTGGATTGCGGCACGTGACCCAATCACTGTCGCTTACATCAAACCGTGACAATCGTTAAGGATATGAAGGATTGAATTGGGGGACTCGGCTCGACTCGATTCGACCGCTAAAGTGGCCTAAAGGGATAAGGACAACTCAATCGAGCCAAACGGCATCTGCGGCATACAAATTAAAATATTTATGTGTGCATTAGGCGAGGGCAAACATTAAGGACACAACACACAACAACTGTGTTGTGTTGGCAGGAGCCAATGGAAAAAGTGCGACATATGTGCAGTCAATAAATTTTCCACTTTTCATGCTGACAGCACAAAAAAAAAAAGAAACAGGGAAAGCAGGGAAAACAGGGGCGCTCGAGGACCACTAATGGCTCCACAATGACCAGGCGCATTTAATTCACAAAGAAAGAAAACCAAAAAAAAAAAAAGAAAAACAGGACCCCAAAAGGACTCGAGTAAATTGCTCCTTTTCTGCTGCATTTAATTTGATTTTATTGTTCGCGCTTCGCTTATTTGTTTGTGTCAAAGAATGTTTCTTTCGATTTGCTGCGGTTTATCGATATATATGAGCCACGCCCACTCACCCCACTGCCCACACACACCGCCCCCATTTCCGCCCACACTGGGAAAGAGTGTGTGTTTTGTTTTCCGTTTCCTGCTGAATAGTAGGGCACATCAACAAAAAAAAATATAAGAAAAGTGGAAAATCTATTAAAATGCATTTAAATGTCTGCACCGTGTAGCGCCCCCCAACCACCAACCTGCCACGCCCCCACTTGGGCCCAAAAGGGAGTACTATATATATATATAAGAATGCCGCATTATGACCACGAAAAAGCGTTGCGAATTGATTAAGTTTTTCCTTTTCCCTCTTTACCGAATTTCCCCTTCGGAGGGCATAAATCGATTTGCTGCGCCTGCTTTTCGGTGTGATTTCCGTTTATACAGGGTATCAAAGGCCGGGGGGAGAATGAAAGTGGGCGTCATTAGCCGGATAACTCTTAAAGGGACTACTGGTCTTAAAAATAGCTTAAACTTTTTTTGTAGGTTAATACTTGGGAATTCATTAACTATTTTAATAAAAAAAACTCTAAAAATTGTTTTAAGTATTTAGCCATCTTTTTTTAAAACCTTATATATTTTTAAAAATGAA